GAGCGTCAAGAAAACGTGTATAATGATTCTGCAACAATTTGAAGAAGATCAAAATCGAAAAGTTTAAAGCACCAAGAAGTCAACACTGATATTGATCTTAATATTCAGAATCAACAGGTAGAAACGGTTGATTCCTTCACTTACTGAAGTTACAATATCATAAGGGGACAACACGACCAAAATGAAGAGATAAACACACATCTAACTATATCTGTCACAATGTTTAGGACCATAGACTATAATTTATATACGGAATACTACGACATCTTTTGGACGTAATCTATGGATGCACAGAAAATTTTCATTGAATGAAAGCATCTCAGCTTAATGGTTTCTCAGATTTTTTTCGTAGGATTAATATCATTTATCCAACATTATAGTGTGTTAGCGAATGAGAACGTTATTAGTTTGCTATTTTCACATAATTTTAGTGATGATTTGACTATTCTTTTCTATTCCTTATTCTATTATCTTTTTCTTTTATTCTTCTTCTTCGCTTCTAACATTTTCTTAATTCTTTCTTTCATTTTCTACAAGTTTCGTTTGCGCAATTAGAAAGTAAAATTGAATGCTTCAATATCACTTTTTTTGTCATCTCGTCCAATACATCGTATTACACAATTAAATAAGAGAGAACAAAATATTCGACTTTTGTTTCGTCTGCTACGTCAGGTATATATACCTTTTCATTTAGAACTAAAAGTTATCATTATTCCTGAAGTTTCATGGATTCACGTATGAACAGGAGTATGCACACGTTTTGTATGCGTCACATTATACAAAGAAAGTCTTCGATAACATTTAGTTTAAATATTAATTCACATAGATTGCTTAAATTTATGCTACTTTTTGGAAGGATAGATGTGTTCATTTCATTAATTTTGGTTGATGATTATAAATAAAAAGAATAACGATGGATACTTCGATAAAGTCGACATCTCAGTGTTTATAGCGACAGAGAATATCTCTATGTATCAGAAGTTGTTAATCTTGGCAGCGTCTCCATACAATAACGTTGCATCTAACCTTCTAACACTGATTGTAGATATAAATATGTATTTTTCTTTCCTTTCATTCTGTCTGCTCTTGTTATACGTGACAAGAGATTGATGATCGAGCTAGATATGTCAAGAGATACACCAATGTGATACGTTATCACTTGAATATGATATCATTCTTACGTTATGCCACTCTTATTTCATACCATCTCTAGTACAATGTCATCCTTGTATCTATACGTAATACTGCTCATAGTGCTCAATACATTGTTCTTTTTTCAATGCCTTTGTAATCGCTACTCTCTACATTGTTCTTTTTCAATACTTGTGTAATCACTTCCCTATACCCTGTATTTATGTTCATTGTTCTTTTCTCGTGAGGAGGAAGAAGAGAGAAGAGAAGAATAGAGCATATACACAGTAGAGGAGAAAACGGTGGATGATAGTGAGAGTCGAAAGTGAGATCGAGCAACGTAACACACATGTGTGAATTATATGTGTTGTGGTGTAAGAATTTGTATTTAAACAAGAGTAGTGTCGAAATAAACGTTTAAGTGATAGCAAGAAGTAACGGAACTGTATTGAAATCAAAAGAAACAAAGACAAAGTCAAGAAAACATTGATCTATATATTATTCAAATTTCCGTTACACTAGACAACACTCATACCACGAAAAAACATTTTTGTGCTCTTCCAACTTTAGTCATATTACGATAATACGTAGCGAGCAGATTCGTCTCGAGCAAAATGATACTTTTTTTCTTGATGAATTATACATAATAAATGGCTCTTCTAGATGGCTGAGTATTCCAATTTCGAAATATTTCCCGACGAAATAATATTACAAGTGTGTCGTTATTTAAGCGGAACCGATGTTCTCTACTCTTTTTTTAATCTTAATGTTCGTCTCAATATTACAATAGTGGGCTACTGTCATCATATCAATCTCTTAGGCGCCGCATACCGACCATTTAACTATGTTACCTCTCATGTTCTGTCTCGAATCGGTTCTTCTGTTCAATCTTTGGTGCTAAATGGCAATTGGGAAACAATAATGTCTGCTGAAGCATTTACTGTTCTTTTTGCTTCACCACTATCAACTATGTTTCCGCAATTACAAAAATTGACACTTAAATGGTTTACTGGTGAACGACTTTCATCGTTCCTTGACACCCTTCAAGATCTTACACAACTTGTCGAACTCGACATCCGATGTCTTAAGGAAGAAGCTGAAAATACTTTGCTGGCAAAAATCTTTGCTGCCAACAACGGCCGACTCTCCTTTGTATCGTTTAATGAGGACTCAGTTTATTTGGATATATCTGAAGGTGATGAAACAGTATCCTATCCAAATATTCAAGAACTCATAGTCAACTTGAAACTAAGTCGACTATTTCCACGACTTTTAACAATCGTACCGAATGTACGTCGTTTGCATGTGACGCTCAACGAGTTATTAGATCGTCTAGAGTTTCAAAAAACAATCGCAAACGTGTCCCCTCTTGTTCATCTCATCGATTTTCAATTACGTTCGATCAACCTTCATTGGACGTTAGATGAAATTATTGATGTATTGCATAAAATGCCCTTGTTGCAGAGACTGGCACTCGATCTACGCACTGACGATGAACGTCTTGCCAAGGGAAAGGCTCTTATCTTGGCTCTGCCTTCATCTGTGACACAGATTCATGTTTTCATTCGCTATTACTTTTCTGAGCCGAATTTGGAGATCGATGAGTTACTTGCTTCATGGCCAGCACACATTCCAGTCAACTGTTTGTTGGACGAAACATGGCAACGTGTGTTAATTTATACCGTTCCTTTTAACCTACGTTCAATCCTTTTACGAGCAGAAATGGGTCAACAGATATTGTCAGTTTACAAACATATGCAAAAAGTTGAAGACTTATACGTCTATGAACCAACAAGTCTCACCGATCTACTCGTCATTGTACAACATTTCCATTGGCTTCGAACACTCACGATTCACTCAAAGAATCAATTAGAACATTGTATGTTTTTTTTTTGTCTCTATTCTCCCGTTTCATCACATGAGAACCATTGTTTAAGTAGGACTCATAAAAACTATTATCAATATCTTGAGTATAAAGTCAAAAACAAAGTATATTTTAAGATATGAGTAAATCAGATAGGCTTAATTAAGAAGATAGTAAGTCATAATGATCTTTGTCTCCTTCCCGTAGTAGAATAGAAAAATCGAGTTCGTTTAGCCTTTCTGGAAACAATGTTGGAAGTAAGCTGTTGACAATGATGACTTACTACTTGAAACTGTGGGCATTATTACTCTAAATAACTCGAAAAGAAATTTGTAAAATAAACAGGATTTTAGTCTATGACGCTCATTACTTACAAGGAATAAACTACATTGTTTACAAATAGTTGATTAATTTTCAAGTAGATTTGTTGAAATACTTTGTTTAATTTTTTTTACCCACACCCTCATTTCTGTAAACAAAAAAGTCAAGCTTTAGTTCAGTAGACGGTTTAATAGACAACAAAAACTATATATAAAAATCCAGCATTTGTTTCCAGATCCAGTTGATGCTTTTTCAATATCTCTGTCTGATTAACTATTATCTTCGGAGTCCTTTCATAAGAAGTATATATTTATAGTCCTACTTTACCAAATGTCAACTGAGTCATAATCTAACTGTTTTTCTATGTGCGAGCATTAAAGCATTTTTTCTAGTTTTTCTTCAATCAACTCATAAAGTCTGATATATTATCGAGTGAATAGCGTGTTTCTTTATGTATATAGCTGCTGTAGCATCACCGACACAACAAATTCTTTTAAGTTTGCCTCGCCTTAGAAAGCTTGAAATAGTTGGGATTTGTCTGCAACTCGACTTTCTCAATGCAGCACCCAATCTTAACTATTTGAGTGTTCACTTCGATTGTCTCAAGAGTCTGCTCAATCACGAGCCTACATGCCATCTGTTGCAACAACGAATCGTTCGTCTCGATGTTGGCAATTGGCCAGACAATGAATCGAATGTGCTGAAACAGACATGTCGAGTATTTAGCAATCTTCGTGTTCTTATCATAGAGCTGAAAGATTCAACTATGATCGTTGATCCAATGGTTTTGACAGCATTTGCTCAATGGAACAGCAAACTCACTTGGTTTGACGTTAATGGCTCACCATCAGATGAAGCTAGTAAAAATCTTCGGCAGTGGCTGATCGATCACACTCGTTTAACGGCGGAAGACTCGTTCGGAGTCCAATATATTGACCATTGGTTTACTTTGTGGATGTAGTCGTTTAACAACACTAGTAACTTTTTCGTGTTTCTGCTTATCCCGATACTATTCAACTATTGCGCATGTGACCACTGTTAGTCCAGAATTACTAATTCTATTTTATTTGCGATGTTCGATATAAACTAATAAATGACATAGAAGTGATGCCCTTAACTATATCGGGTTTTTGAACGCAGTAAAAATTTTCTAATATTACTTAGGGTTAATCTAAATTTTTTTGCGTAATTGAGTCAAATGATGAATAAATTACCTAATTATCATGAAAAATCAAGGAGTAATTAATAGTAGTTTGAAGAATACTACATCTGTTCTAAATAGGAACATTTAGCGCAAATCAAAAGAATAAGTGCTCGGGTGTGCATGTGGATTCTATTCTTATCTTCAATTACACCCACACCCCCAAAAAACATAAACTTATGTTATTTGGTTCCTTTTTCTCTCCATTGACTTCTTTTCTATGTTTTCTGGAAAGACAACAGACTCTTTTCTATTCTAAGAAAGAACATCACGGCAAAAATAAGGACTAATTCATCATCATAAGAAAATCGAATGTTATCATTTTTTGTTGTATTCTAATAATGGGATTCATAGACTTAAAAGAAAAAAAAAGCAATTGATGCCTTCCGTTTGATTAAGCACTGTTTTGAAGGATACAAGTTTGAGTTTAATTTCATATAAAGTAAAATTATCTTATTGATAATGTTTGTACATCAGTAGCTGTTAATTTTCTTGAATAAACACGAAATTTGAACATGTTTCATTTATATTATCAATATAACTACCTAATGTAATAGTTAATGGTGTGTTACCACCATGATAGTCACATGGCGACGATGCATTAAATAATGATCCATTTATATAAAGACTAACACCATTAATTGATGAATATGTTTGAACAATATGTGTCCAAGTATAAGTCAAAATATATGGACCTGTCACACTGATTTAATCCTCCATTCAGTCGACTTTGTGCCTGAATTTGACCTTGAGAATTAAATCGAAGAAATGATAAACACCATTTTGTATTAATTGAACTATTTTGAAAAATATATAATATTACAGTTCTGTTTGTTTGGAAAGGATTAATCGAAATTGAAAAAGAATATAAACGATTATCAATTCCAAGAAGAACAAAATTAGATGATTGAAAATATGATTTTATTTTATTTAATAAAAGTGAATTATTTTCAAAAGTTGTATTAATACTAATTTCATTTATTTCATTTGGTCCGAAATCTTGTGTTGAATTATTATCAAAAGAATACCAACTAACAAGTGTTGCATCATTGAGAATTTCACTGGTACTTTTAGCCCATTCAACTAATGATAATTGATCAATAAGACCATCAAAATAATATGGAGCCAATGGAGAAGTATAACCTATTGTAAGAGGTATATAACTTAAATTTGTTATTTGCAATGGTGCACGTGTTCGGTTAATACAATCAAGAATACCATCGATATAAATCATTTGAGTAGTTGAGAATAAATCATAAGCAAATGTTAAAAGATACCATGTATTAATCTGTATTGTTTTTGACCCATCACATGCATTACTATAAAAACTAATTCGAATTTTACTATTTCTTATTGTCATATGTAAACATTTGTTTGCTGTATGTGAGATGGACATTGACCTATCATACCTCGATCACCACCAGATACAAACGAAAATGGATAAATCCAAAATTCAAATGTAAAACTTTTAAATGATATATTTAAATTAATTGTTGAATTAATTAAAACATATTATTTAAGACTAACATTAAAACATAATGCAAAACCATAACCAGTGATACCTGGACTTGAAAAAGATGCATTTGATAAACTATTATAATGTGAATTTCTTTCATTTCTACTACCATCAAAAGACCAAAATGCATTTATTAAAGATAAAGACGAATTCGAAGTACCTAAAATATATCATCATAAGCAATAAAAATATGTATCTATTTATGACGATCGAGAACCTGTAGAACGAGAAAAAACGACAAAAAGATTTTTTTTTTTGTGGTTACAAAAACCGCTTAGTTTTCGAATAGGGATGATGAAAATCTTCAAATATTTTTGGACAAAACGAAGTGTTGAGTAAAAATTGTCGTCATTTATGAGAGATAAGATTACAGGATATCTTTTCCTGAATTTATGTTAATTTGGATCATTCTGACGAAAAGTAACTTTTTTTAGGGGAACCTTAAAACTCTGCATAGAATAGTAGCTTTTATTTAACGAATATAGTTTCTTCCATTTGTTCTTGGATCACAAGGAATCGTACAGTGAAATTAAGTATGAAATGTAAAAAGTTTTCTTGTTCAACTTTTTTGACAGTTTGTTCTATAAAGCATAATTCAAAAGTAATAAATTAGGCAAATTTTGTGAACATCAATCATTTTTGCTTCCTTAATCTTTTTGAATGCAAAACAGCCAAGTTTGATACACAAGACCTTCTGTACACGTCTGCCAACAGTAAATTTTTCTTGTCATCATCCTGTATGCGAAAGTGAAAACCAAACTTCGAATCGAAGTCAAAAGCAACAAGAAAATACTGATTTTTTTGTTATCATTTCTGGTTCAGTAACATTGACTTAGCTCAGCGAAACAGTAATATTTTCCAAAAGCAATATGTAACTTGATTCTCCATTGGATAACGCTTCGAATGGTATGTCAATATGTCTACATATGGGCCTATTGCATGGATATTCTCATGTTAAGATGCTGAATCTAAATATAATATTTTTGAAAAGTTAAAGTAAACGTAAAAGGGTGAACACTTCCACTTTCTTGTTATCGATCGAAATTCAACTTTTTCTTATGTTGTTTTTATTTCAAAGGTTTTTCGCCCGAAACTTTATAGAAAAAGAGGAAAAGATGATACTTTTGATCAGTTTGATGAGCTCTATCTAATGATTGATTAATAAATATAAAAGAAGAATTTGCATGAAATTTAATTATAATTGAACTAATATTCTGATAAAATAATTGACAAATGTTATTTATTTGAAAATAATTTAAAGTAGATATTAATTCATTTGATTTTATCATTTGACATATATACATTGATCACGTGATATATTTAATAATGAATTATTTATTATACCAATCATTATATTATTTTCTATTTTACCAATTCTAATAGAATTGACAAGAGAAAATAATGATAAAGTAACAATCATCCAAAACATATTTTATTCTTTTTTACTTGAAAAAAAAATCTTTTTTTTTTTAATCATTGTTCAAACATCTTTCATAACTATTTATTTTCTTACAATTCTCTCTCATCAGTTTAATATTTAATCATTAGAAAAAGTGCTATACATTTTACACCAAATGTTTGTCAAACAATACATCTATTATTATATTACATATATAGAAAAGTTTCAAATTATTTATATTAACAGCGGAAAAAAAAACAATTCTTGCTAAAAAAAATCAAGAAAATATTAGTGAAATTTATTTCATCATTACAACGTTATATGGATACAATTGACAAAAATTGAGATTATATCTTGTCATTCATTTTTTTTCTTTTTATGTTTTGTGCAAATCGTAAGTTAGTAGAATATGTATGAATATAGCTAAAACTGATATTAGTAATTGTTGTGTATGGAGATGTATACAACAGTTGATAGTAAATATCATCAAATATTAAGAATGCTCGAGATATAGATATATAAGATTCATGTAAATTTTCATAAACATAAAAAGTTCTTTCTTGTTATTAATTATTCGTTTTCTTTTGTTTAATTGATAACAGACAATAAAAGAAAAAAGAATAAACTGTTACACTCTTTTTTATGAAAAACATTCATCAAATATCATAAAAGAAAAAAAGCATAACAAACACTTCTGATAATGAACGATACACGTCATCTACAGATCTCAGCAAAAAAATATTTATTATGCATAGAATATTCAAGAAAGCAAAGCATTTTTTCTAACTATTTTACCTGTATCAAACGAAGATTTATTGATAAACACGAGAAATAGGTTACTTCCATTTTCATTTTTCATTTCAATCTAAAACAAATATCAGTTCACAAGAGTATCGAAAATATATTTTTATTTGACTCTGTCGTTCATGTCAAATTTGATCTATTTCAATAATAAGCAAAATTATTTTATTCTCCTTATAAAACATTTCAATGAAAATTAAGTTTGCATGATTTGACTCTTTCCGATCTTTTTCTATAGAAGCATAGTTAATCAAAGCCGGGATAATTGCCATATTCATTGAATCGATTGGTTTTTTTCTTAAAAAGGATGTTTCACAAAAGATCAATCATATAAAAAACTATCCTAAAATAACAAAATTCCAAAATCAACTGTATGTATAAGAGAAAAAGAAAAAAAAGTTCAGTATTTATTTATTCTTTCTTTGATTGATCAAAATCTTATAATTAGTTTCGATGTTATTGAACTTATTTACTGTCAATTTCGGTGATTAAAGATATAAGCGTAAACTATGTTTTCCCATGTCGTCTTCTTTTATTCAATAACGCCGCTATATCGTCAAAACGGCAAAAAACAGCGTTATTGAGCAGAATGATGACGCTATTTATCGCAATATTATATAGCGATCGTTGCGACGCGATTACGGCGAAAAGCAAAAAGCGACGCTATAATCGCAATATTGTATTGCGTTCATTACGCCACGATAACGGCAAAAAGCGACGCTATTATAATCGTACTATGCTTTTATACCAAATAGTACACTTATTATTATGAACAGTTGAACTTTTGCTGTATGGTATAATTCTTGTGATCTTGTACATATAACTTGGAAATATACTCGGCTAACTGACGTAGTCTTCAGTAGTCAAAAATTCAGTCCTTGCATGAACTGATCGCTTTTGTGCTCGTTGTTTCGTAGAAACTCTAGTAATAAGATTGATGATCGATCACGACATCAGTAATAATAAAATCTCCATGCAATGCCGCCCAAGGTGATTGATACTAATCATGTGCTTTGCTAGTCATACATTATTTCAGTTGATGCTACTATTAATTGAAAACTAAATATCGCAAAAAGGACACTTATTCAATGAGTATTGTTGTGGTTGACAAAATGTTACGACGAAATTCGAAAAAAATAAACAATATTTATCAATTAAAATATTATGAAATCGAGTTTTATGAATTTTTAAGCACCATATTGTTCGACACGTCCAAACAAAAATCGTACAATGCATTGATACAATATTATTAGCGTGCTAAATTTATTTTTCTAACTATTCTATCAACATTTACTATTATATAATGATCAGTAGCATCGTCTACTTTTATGACAATTATGTTTCTTTAACCAATAATCATCTTCAATTCTAATCTTTGTCTGCAGCTGTATAATTGCTCAGCTTTTTGCAACAAAACAGATGATCGTATAAGAATAGAAGTAAATATAGAGAAATTTAGACGTCAGAGGTCAACGATTGTCAAAGAAGGCGGCCTGCAAGAGATGTAGTGTAACGGTCATTTATCATCATGACAACATTGCGGACGACTGCTTATACAGCTGCACTCATAAATGAAAAAAAACTTTTGCTTCACTAATCCAAATGAAAGATAAATAGTTTCTGAAAATTTTCGATGATAGATATTTTCTCAGATTCTGTTAGTAAAATCAAGTGCATTACAGTAATTGATAATTTTTATTGTTCTACTTTTTCATTCTCCTTTGTTTTAGATGTAATTTTCATTAAAATACTTATAGACGTCATTGATGCTGATGGTACAAATCTCTTATCAATTCTAGTAAGTGCAGAATTCATTTTTTTAATTATTTGTGTCTCATGTATTTAGATTTTCACATCATCAGACGTCAATCTATGCACTGATTTATGGAAAATCCCAGCAACAGATGAATGATAGTAGAAAAATAAAATCTTTGTGTAGGCTGCCAATAGCTTTTTTTATGTATTCTACGTTAAACAGTTTTTTGTATAAGAAATTTCTTTTTTTTATAAAACTTTGTTTTTTTGTATTGATTATTTTTTTGTATTGATTATTTTTTTGTGTTAAATATCACATGAAATTCATATTACTAGTTTTTTAACATAGTGATTTCTTGTGTGATTAAATAAAAGTTTGAAAATAAAAATATTTGTTGAACTGATTTATGAGTAAACTTTTAGATGTAGCTAAGGTCTACTAAGAATACAGGTGCAGTGAAGTATCGGAATATGCGAAAATGTAACGCTATAACGCGTAAAACTAGTTTATATTGTCGCTATAACGCGTAAAATTAGTTTATATCACCGTTATATCGCGCTATTGCGGACATAGCGTGCGCGAAAGGGGGTCACTATGCGATTGCAATAGCGGCGATATCACGCCGCTATTTAGCCGCTATCGATGACATGGGTTTATACCTAAGAATAGATCCGCTACAAAAAAAAAGAACAACATCACTGATGAAAAATTTTTTCTCGGGATTTCATCGAATGGTTAAGATTGGTGATCTTCGGATAATCAGAACAGACCTTTGAGGAAGGTCGAAATGTGTTATAGTTTGCTTGATTCACTCCTTTAGACCTTATGACTTTTTTATGGAATCATTAAGCTTAAACAATCAAGTATCTAAATCAGAACATTATATCG